GATTTTGGAGTGTATTTCTTATTCACAATACTAATAATTGAAATTTAAATGAAGCAAGTCAGTTTGGAAAGCTAATTCATCAATAATAAGGCAGGATTTGAAGAGCATATTTATCTAAATGGTAAAAGTGAGGAACCTGCTTTTGGAAAAGTTTCGTTGTTGGACACAAATTTAAGTTTGTATCCCACTTTAGCTAGCTTAGCGATAGTAGTAAGGCTAATGAGAAATATGCTAGCAGGGGCAGCATTTAACCAAGTGAATATGTAATATTTAAAACCAAGAATGTAAAGTATGGAACATAAATACGCAATTAGCATTTTCGTTGGTTTTCAAAGTAGGTAAGACATTTTAAAACTTACATATAGTAATCACATGTTGGACTGTTTTCTTGATAGAAAAGGCAATTTTATTGGGAATATATAATGAATAATTGGTTGGTCACTTTTGCTACAAATAGTAAAACATGGAAGTAAACACAGCTAAAGAGAACTCATCTCTCCACCACTGCTAAAACAAATGTTCCTTTAAAATTAATTTCTGGTTGAGAATTACATATAAAAAAGGCTTTAAACAGAGAGGTACGACATACAGCTGATTGGTAATGACAAACAGGAAGTCAACAGACAGACCTCAAAGATGACACCTGTTGTTTGTGAGCACAAAGTTTGTCAGGCAAGAAAAAAACAAATACTTTACAAATAAGCTGCAGCAGGATGTGTTTACAAGTGATGTTTTGTTCAAAAAACATAGTATTTTAAGATGTCTTCCATCCACTATGTGAGTGGAATTAGCTTCAAGTGCTAATTTAGTGTCAGACATGCTATGACAGACATAACGTCATTAACAGTGTAGATTAGTGACCCTCAAAATTGATTCATTTCTTCTTATCAAAACAGTTGGTTTAATCAATCTTTTCCTGAGGACTTACTGCCAGACATCGGTGACCTCTGTGGGAGCCACCTCCTTGTTCTCCATCTGAACCATGGCGAAGCCGCCCACGGCGTACAGCAGGCCGCCGGTGCTCACCAGGTTGATGGAGCTCCTCTCCTGGGGGAACTCCGTGAAGGGTTCCCACCTGCGGAGACACGGCACACCGGAATAGGCTCAGGATCGTCAACACTGCTGGCACACACCTGTTTCTGCACTGTTCAATGGACGTGGTTCGGCGTAGAAAACACTGACAAACCTAAT